CCTCTTGTCCCCTCAGCTGAAGGCGCTGATGGTGCTCGTCGACGAGGTGGACGCCCTGGGTGTACAGGTGAACAATCTGCTGGATGACCTCAAGGACATCAGGAACGTGCGAGTGGACACCGACTCTGACCTGTCCAGGCTGGAGGACGCAGACACCGTGCAGAACCAGCAGATTGCCGACCTGGAGCAACAGGTCAGTGTGATTGGTTGGTTGTGGGAACGGGTGAACTTGATAGGTTGGTTGCAATATTGTAGAAACCACAGGTCAGTGCGATTGGTTGGTTGTGGGAGAAGGTGAACCTGATTGGTTGGTTGAAGAACAGGTGAACTTGATTTGCTGGAGTTTGATTGGTTGGTTGTAGGAACAGGCAATCTTGGTTGGTTATTTGTAGGAACAACAGGTCAATTTGATTGGTTGGTTATTTGTAGTTAAATGTAGAAACACTCGTTTAGTTTGATTGGCTGGTTATAATATTGCAGAAAGAACAGGTTAGTTTCATTGGTGGGTTGTAAGAACAGGTTAACTTGATTGGTTGGTGGTACGAACAGCAGGTTAGTTTGATTGGTTGGTTGCAGAAACAGTTTGATTTGTAGGTTGAGGGAACAGGTGAACTTGATTGGCTGGTTTTAGGAACAGGTGAACTGGATTTGCTGGAACCGGCGGGTGTCGCTGCGAGTCGAGTTGCTAGGAGGGTCAGGTCGTGGGTTCTGGGGTGTCCGTTTGTATTCGAATTCTGCGTGTTCTAATTTTGTTTTGATTTGTTTATTTGTTGTTGTTTGGGGGTTGTTTGGGTTGTTATTTTTTATTGGTATTTGTTGTTATTGCTGTTGTTTTCCCTTAGCATCAGGATTATTGACAGTTATATTCATATTCAACGTGGTTTTGTGGGGGGGGGGGGGGCGTGGACCACCAGAATCATTACATAGATCTATATTGTTCTCGTGTTCTCTGAGGGTGTGGTTCCCTCCTTTTTTTCTCTGGATCATACACATTTTTAACGGGTGTTGTTTTTTTGTTTTTATTCTTTTCATCCTCCTCAGATCGACGTGCAGGATGAGCGTATTGTGGACGCCAGCCAGAGGGTGACCGCTAACGAGGTCCTTGCCCGTGAGGTGTACGCCAACCTCGTCAACGTGGTCGACATTGTGAACCAGGAGAAATGTAAGAAGGACGGGGAAAAGGAAGAAAAAAAATATAATCTTATAAGTTGAATATTGTATTTGAAATTATGTAATATCATGTATAATATACAGAAACGAAATAATCTATTTCTCTGTCTCTGTCTCTGTCTCTGTCTCTTTGTCTCTCTCTTTCTCTCTTTCTCTCTCTCTCTCTCTCTCTCTTTCCCTCCCACTCACACTCACACACACACACACACACACACACATACACACACACACACGCACGCACACACACACACACACACACACGCACAAGCACACACATATACACACTTTCTCTGTTTATGTATATATCTATCTTATGCATCCATCCACCCATCCACCCATCCATCCATCCATCCATCCATCCATACATCCTCCCATCCATCCACCCATCCATCCATCCATCCATCCATCCATCCATCCATTCATCCACCCACCCATCCATCCATTCATCCATTCACCCATCCATCCATCCACCCATTCACCCCTCTACCCATCCATCCATCCATCCATCCACCCATCCATCCATCCATCCATCCATCCACCCATCCATCCATCCTTCCATCCATCCATCCATCCCAAACACACCTTCTCTGTTTGTGTATCTATCTATCACATGCTTCCATCCATCCATCCACCCATCCATCCATGCACCCATCCACAGCCGAGACGTTCACGGTTGAAGTGACGCCCGAGAACAGCTCCGTCACCATCCCCTTCGCCTCCGCCTTCTCTGTCGTGCCGTCCATCAGTTACGGTATCGTTGACCTAGACGTCAGCGAGGTGCCCTCCAAGACCCCTGCCTATGGCCAGAGCTACGAGCCCACATACCCAAGTGATGAGGTCTTGTCTGGTCAAGTCAATGTAAGTATCTATCTATTTATCTATTTATTTATTTATCTTTCTATCTATCTATTTATCTATCTATCGATCTATCTATCTATCTATCAATGTAAGTATTAAATCTGTCTGTCTCCGTCTTTGTCTCTGTCTCTGTCTCTGTCTCTCTGTCTTTGTCTCTCTCTCACGATCTCACTCTATCTATCTATCTATCTATCTATCTATCTATCTATCTATCT